CTCCCCTCAAGTGGGCGATAGTAAACCCGCATGTAGACTATATGTATTTCATGTTTTTGAGGGGGAGGGCGGGGCCAGGCACTACCTTGACGAGATGCCGCTCTGAGCAGCTGCATGTTGCCCATATCAGAAACCACCACCGAGGAAGAAAGCACCACACTGTTCAGCAGACAGGCTCCTCCATAAACTGTCTGCACGAGCTCCATCCAGGAGCTTCTGGCCATTTGAATAATTTAGTGTTTGATGATGTACAGATGAATGTCTGAGCATATTCTGCATTGACAAACGTGTCCCCAAACCTCTGAGCAATCACACAATATTTAGCGCATGCACGGAGAAAAGGTTCGGCCTGGGCCTCGTATGGAGCCGTGGCAGGTGAAGCTGCTTGATTTTCATTACACAACAACGTCAATAAAAGCTGATTTTGCTGATTAGGATGAGCTGTGCAGGCTCTTTATTGTCCACAAAAATGGCTCTGGCTCTTTTCCAAAGATGTTTAAGTTAAATTTGATTTGAAGCTGAAAGTTATTTTAAACGCAGCCACACATTTATTTGTATGTTGTTGTTTTTTTTAAATTAATTTATTTTGGTGAAGTCAATAAACATGTTTTTTTTTTCTGGCAAACATTAAAAATCCTTCTACCTTTTTTTTGTCAGAATGTTTTCAAATGTCTCATAACCTCACAGTAACTTTACGACACTCTCATGTTCCTGAGGAGAAGAATGGGACAATTTCAAATACGATGTAAAAACAAATTTTATTTGTATATTTATCATAAAATAATGCATCCTGTTCACGAATTGTTTTTCTTTTTACCTTTACTTCTAACCTTTAGATATTTATATTAGCACACTGGACGGTGCTCCGCTTTTATATTTAGAGCCTCTGAAATAAATCTACAGAGGTGCAGTTCACCTCCCCCCCAGCAGAGGGACGTCCTCCCTGGCCAGAGTCGCTGCAGCGTCCTGCCTCTCATCTCGTCTGACAATCTTTTTACTGGTAGTTTGGATGTAAAGAACAAACATTTAGTACTAAATACATGTTGGACATGGATGCAGGCTGCAGAATGAAACGCTCCGCGGCTGACTGCCGTCGGTTTAGCCAAAGGCTAGTCACCATTACCGGGTGTAGCGCGCACTGCAATTT